CAGGCTTTTAAGACCCCAGACGCTACTCACCAAGGTAGAATGTAGAACATTGTCTTTATAAACTGTGTTATGCCAATTGAGCTAGATGTTCCCGGGACCATGGTCCCCACAGCCCTCCACCCAGCAATCCAGTCCTAGAGGAGGGTATATTTTAAAAACTGTTTTAAGACCCTAAATTTTGAGTCTATGCATATCAAAGGACCATCTATTGTAAGAGTTCCTACGGAGAGTCCATCTGTATTTAAAACAGGTGGTATAACTCTACTCTCTTCTTTCCTCTTCTCTCCTGACCACATCTAGCTGTGGTCCTAGGAGTTTTGAAACAGTCTGCTCTGGGAGTGGTAAGATCCAGTATAATGGATGGGATAAAGTTAAATAGCACCATAGGCCTGCTGAGTTTGTCTTCTTCTAACTATCCTTATTTAGGTGTTAAGAAAAGTGCAAGGGGAGGGAAGGGAGAGGAGGGAAGGAGAAGAAAAGGGAGGAAAGAGCAGAGAAGGGGATATAAGGGAAGGAAAATAAGATAAGGGAAGGAAGAAGGAAGAAAGGAAGGAGAAAGGTTAGAATAATGAAGACAAATTATAGTCGATTCTCATCATTTGCAGTAGTTATGTTCTATAAAGTTGCTGCAAACACTGAATTAGCAAATACTGAACCATTCCTCCCAAGGGAAATACTGGGTTAGGTTCCTGTGAGCCTCTGGTTGCCACATTTTCATCAGCTGACGAATACATAACCTTGTTTTATGTGTGCTTCTGTGTAGAGACATCTTATTTAATATATATTGTTGATTCATTAATATTGAACTCATGGTCAACAGCACTTTAGCTCAAGCCTTAACAGAGCTCATCTAACACATGTATTTTCTCTATAAGGCAGAGCTCTTCTTGCTCTTAGGGACACAAGACTACACTTCAGCACTACCCTCAGAGGGCATTTAAACAGTGAAATCACCAGCAAAAAGCACAAAAATACAGAAAGAGTGGCGCTAAAGAGACTACAAAGAGGACACTCGTTTATTGTATGAGAGCTCAAACAAGAAGGCAGAACATCAGCTTGTTCGACCTCAGCTGGGAACATGCGCATTGGGCAGCTCAAATTTTCAGCCACTCAGTACATGTCTGTGAATGACTGTGAAAGTGCCTTAAGTATTAGTGTTGGGGTTATAAATGAATTTTATCAAGTAAGCGAATTCACAGATACGAAATCTGCAAATAATGAAGATCAATTGTATTTCCATTCTCTAGGACAGTCCCTGGGAAACCAGGCTCAGTGAATGCCTCGCTGCTAACTAACCGTGTAAGGCCCAGAGTGCCTGTTTAAAACTTTCAGGTCAGAAGTGGCCAACTCAGATGCTTGCAAGAGCTATGCGGATAATGTAAACAAGTACATTAAGCCGGGTAATACCACAAAGTGGTAGAGATGGTGGGAAACCAGAGAGTATCTGCCCTGTCTAAAGGCAGCAGCAGCTACTCAGCCACTCAGGTCCAGCCAGCTGTTACTATGTGGAATGGCAGCCACATATGGTCAGATCTTCCCATTTTCCAAGAAAAGCTGGATGTCATTTTTTACATGAAGTTGTAAACTTCAATTTAAAAGTATAAAGTTTCTATGAAAGTGATTTCTAAAACCCTCCCTAGACCAAACAAAATATATGTATAGCTGACCCTGCAATAGGGCTTAATGCTCTTGCTTAGGCTAACTGACTTGAACCTAGGGAGCAGATGCTCATTTATTTGCCAAATATTTAATGAACTCCTACTATAAGCACTTGACTACTAAACAAAAGGTTGGCAGTTTGGACCCACCCAGAGGCACCTTGGAAGAAAGGCCTGGCAGTGTGCTTCCAAAAAGTCACAATCTTGAAAACTCTATGGAGTGCAGTTCTATTCTGCACTTATGGGTTTGCCATGGGTCGGAATCAACTGGATGGCAACTGGTTTGGTTCTACTATGTAGCAGGGCATTTGCCCTCCTCTAGTTAAGGAGATATGGCCTTTAGACAGTAGGAGAGAAGCCACAAGGTAGAAATCAGTAAAGCCACAGCAGTACAGAGAGTAAGTGTGGGCCAAGTTCAGAAGAGGGAAAAGATTCCTGTCATTGAGGGGATTAGGGGCAGTTTTGTGGAGGGAGTGAGGATTGAGCTCTGCTCTGAGGAAGGGTAGCATTTAAAGTGGGGATTTCTGGGAGGGAGGAGGTAGGACAAATGTGTGGAGATGAGGATGGGCCTGATGTGCTCAGAGGCGTAAGAGAGAAGACCAGAAGACTATGGTGCAATATAGACTCAATGTTACTCATACAATTTGTTGCTGTTAGTTGCCATGGAGTCAATTCCTACTCATGGTGACCCCATGTGTGCAGAGTAGAACTGCTCCATAGGGTTTTCAAGGCTGTGACCTTTCAGATGCAGATCTCCAAGCCTGTCTCCTGAGGAGCCTCTGGGTGAGTTTGACTGCTAACCTCTTGGCTAGTAGTCGAGTGCTTAACTGTTTGTGCCACCCAGGGGCACAGTATAGCTGTTCTGTTGCTAAGTAAACGAGACTAAGAGGCTATAAAATCTGTATCTTTGTGTCCTGGTACTAATAATGACAAGAACAAATCTAAATGGCACTAGTTGTAGGAGCCCTGGTAACGAAATGGTTAAGTACTTGGCTGCTAACCAAAATGCTGGTGGTTGGAACTCATCCAGTGACTCTGCAGGAGAAAAGACTTGGCGATCTGCTCCCATAAAGATTACAGCCTAGAAAACCCTATGGGGGCAGTTCTACTCTGTCCTATATAGAGAGTCAATAAGAGTCAGAACCAACTCAAGGGCATACAGCAACAACAGCAAAGCACTAGTGGAAGAAGACTGGGTGTGCAAGGGGTAGTAGACAGAAATGGTACTTTTGTAGCAAAGTGAGAGAACTAACAAATTGTCAAGGTGACGATAAAGGAATATGTGGCCATGTCCACCTCAGGGGCATAGCGAGAGTAACAAGCACCCAGGGGCAATCTCTAAATTGAACCCCCCCAATTTGAGCACCTAGGGCAATCTATAAGTTTTACCCTCTGCCCCCCAATTTCAAGATGAACAGACTTGGATAGGGCGATGCATCAGCAGAAACACCGTCCTCCCTCTTGGCTGGCTGCCTCAGTCAGTCAGGCTCCTTCATATTCGTGGGGTCTCAGAATGTCATTCTGTGCCTCGTCTGGCACCCCCTTGAACTTGAGCCCAGGGACAAGTGCCCCCTTCTGCCCTTCCCCTTGCTATGCCTCTGGTCCACTTAATGCCACTCCTAATAATTACCTGAGATACAATTTCAGATTTCATTTGTAAATGAAGGCAGTTTGGGTTTGGAACACGAGTAGCTCAGACCACTGTTGGTTACAAAGCCCCGAATAGCACAGGAAGTGGGTTAACTTCACACCCAGCATCCTGGCATTGTTCTTTTGGCTGACAAAACACAGTTATCTGCCAGATTACAAGAGATCCTCCTTGGTTACATTACCACCTCTTTTTTAGTCTGCTCTCTCGTCATCCTAATCTAATGGTGCTCCGTATAACCACCATGCTGAGAGTGATTTTATATAAATTACATGGGAGAGGAGCCAGTACCAGCTTTCTCAGTAATTTACACCACAATAGCAGCAGCTAAACCAAAACAACAACAAAACCCATTGTTGTGGATTCTGAGTCATAGCAACCTTATAGGACAGAGTACAACTGCCCCAAAAGGTTTCCAAGGAGCAGCTGGTGGATTCAAGCTGCTGACCTTTTGGTTAGCAGCCGATTTCTTAACCACTGTGCCACCAGGGTTCCAACTAGCAGCAGCTAGGAGGTGCTAAAAACCCACTGCTGTCTAGTCAATTCCAACTCATAGCAACCCTACAGGACAGAGTAGAACTTCCCCATAGGCTTTCCAAGGCTGCGATTTTATTTTATTTTTTAAATTGTGCTTTAGATGAAAGTTTACAGAGAAAATTAGTTTCTCATTAAACAATTAATACACATACAGTTTTGTGACATTGTTACCAACTCCGCAATGCGTCAACACTCTTCTCAGTCCTAGGTTCTCTATTTCCATTCCTCCAGCTTTCCTGTTCCCTCTGGCCTTCTCGTCCTTGCCCCTGGGCTGGCATGCCCATTCAGTCTCGTATACATGGTTGAGCTATGTGTATTATTGTTTGTTTTATGGGCCTGTCTAATCTTTGGCTGAAGGGTGAACTTCAGGAGTGACTTCAGTACGGAGTTAAAAGGGTGTCTAGGGGCCATACTCTTGGGGTTCCTCCAGTTTCTCTGGTCTTTTTTTATGAGTTTGAATTTTGTTCCACATTTTTCTCCAGCTCTGTTCAGGACCCTCTATTGTGATCCCTGTCAGAGCAGTTGGGCACCATCTAATTGTGGTGGACTCAGTCTGGTGAAGACTGTGGTCATTGTGGTCCATTAATCGTTTGGATTAATCTTTCCCTTATGTCTTTGATTTTCTTCATTTTCCCTTGCTCCAAATGGGGTGGGACCAGTGGAGGATCTTAGATGGCCACTCAGAAAGTTTTAAGACTCCAGATGCTACTCACCAAAGTAGGATGTAGAACATTTTCTTCATGAACTATGTTATGCCAATTGAGCTAGATATCCCCCAAGACCATGGTCCCCAGCCAAGGCTGTGATCTTTACAGAAGCAGACTGTCACATCTTTCTCCCATGGAGAGGCTGATCGTTTGGTTAGCAGCCAAGTGCTTTAACCACTGTGCTACCAGGGCTCTTTAGAAGGTGCTAGTCATTTATAAATAGGCTCCTAACACAGCATGTCGGCTTTTAAAAACTGAGAACAGTTGAAAATGTTCCCGATTTCAGAACATTTTTGCTGCCAGTGTTACAGTATGAAATTATAAGTCAACAAAATGCTTCCTCCTGTGCAGGGATAAAAAGTTTATCAAGGCTATACACCAACATTAGGCAGATGGGTGTTGCTATGAGGATACTGGTTATACATTAAAGGGATTTAGAGTAGTCTACTAAGTTTTATCTGACAGATACTAGCCTCACTGAGCCCAGAAACCAAGGGAAAGTCTTCAATTTTGGGAACCATGTCACACCATTTCTGTACTCCCTCATGGATCCAATCCATTCTGCCTTTGATATGCTTTAAAGTTGACTCAACCTGCCTTTTTCTCCAGACTGCAAAAAAGAAGAGCTGACACTTGCATAGCCCTTACTCTGTGCCAGGTATTGTTTCAAGTGCTTTAAATATGAGGCATATACACATATTAACACATATAATTCTGCAACAACAATATGAGGCAAGTCTTGTTATATTCTTATTTTATACATGGTAAAATTGAGGTTAAGTAAATTACCAGATAACACAACCTTGCTTGCCAAAAATGAAGACGCCTTAAAGCACTTGCTGATGAAGGTCAAAGACTATAGACCTTCAGTATGGATTACACCTGAATGAGAAGAAAACAAAAATCCTTACAACTGGACCAATAAATAACATCATGAAAAATGGAGAAGAAATTGAAGTTGTCAATGATTTCATTCTATTTTGATCAATAATCAACGTCCATGGAAACAGCAGTCAAGAAATGAAAAAACATATTGCATTGGGAAAATCTCCTGGAAAACACTTGTTTAAAGTTTTAAAAAGGAAAGATGTCACTTTGATGACTAAGGTGATTCTGACCTAAGCCTTAGTCTTTTCAATCACCTCATATGCATGCGAAAGTTGGATAATGAAAAAGGAAGACAGAAGAATTGATGTGTTTGAACTGCGGTGTTGGCAAAAAATATTGAATATACTGCAGACTGCCAAAAGAACAAACAAATCAGTCTTAGAAGAAATACAATCAGAATGTTCCTTAGAAGCAAGGATGACTTTGGACACATCATCAGGAAAGACCAACGGCTAGACAAGGACATTGTGTTTGATAAAGTAGAGGGCCAATAAAAATGAGAGAAACCCTCAATAAGATGGATTGACACAATAGCCACAACAGTCTCAAATACACCAGTAATCATGAAGATGGTGTAGGACAGGGCAACATTTCACTCTGTTATACACAGGGTTGCCATGAGTTGGAGCTGACTTGATGGCAACTAACAATAACAACTTGCCTGTGTTGACACAGCTGGTAAGTTGCAGGACTGGTATTCAAACCAGGGGTTCTGTCTACAGAGCCATGCTGTTGACCACTTTTCCTGGCCACCTCCCTGGCAACCTTCCACCTGGGCCAGGGGGAGTTCTGGGCTTTGGGTAAGATCTGACTGGAAAAAATTGGGCATTTGGTTTGTCTTTGCATTAGCCCTGCACTTACTGCAGTTATTTATTGATCTTCCTCTTCCTCTGTCTTCATCTCTTGTTTCCTGTTTATTTAACTAGATGGCCCCGTGCACTGCACAGGGGAGGGAAAGTTAAGCTTCTGCCTGGTTTCCTGCTGGTCCTGCTAAGGCAGCAAAAGTCACTGCCATTTTCCATTTAGCCAAGAACTTCTATCTTACCTGATACCAACCCTGTATTTTATTATCAATTGCACTCTACTTCTACAGAACACAAAACTCCTCTCAGACCCAGTTGGGTTTGGGGTTTTGGAGTCAACTCTATGGTACCAGTCGTCATATAATAAAAGCCAATGGTTTGTATATGTTTACTGCAATCGGCTAAGTACATACCTTATTGGCTGCCATGGAAAAGTATTTGAAGGCAGTAGCATTATTTTGGGGTGCTGCAGCATTCCCCTCTAAATACATCTAGAAAAAAACATTAAAAGATGGTGTAAAAAACTAAGGAATTGGAGGGCAATGAAAAATATTTGAAACTAGACACTACTGAATTGTATACTTTAAAATGATTAATTTTATGTTATGTGAATTTCACCTCAATTGAAAAACCTAAGGAAACTATCTACTCCATACATTCTGGAGTTACCTTGTACAAGGGCAAAGAGGTGGACCATGCTTGTGTTTTCTCGTATGTTTCCTTGCATCTAAGTTTATTGTATGTAGCACTTCTGCAAGCAGGGCCCTTGTCCCTCTGGTAATGCAAATTGGCTTCAGAGAGCCAAGAGAAGCACTTGGGACGTAGATGATCTCTGAAGGAGAGAGAAGATCCCTCTCTAGAGGAACTCCTCACAACAGCTGATCAGGGACCTCCCATCAGATGTGGTGGAAAGATGGACTTCGGTTGGCCTGGAGGTAGTTCTCATCCCAGGGGTGGAAGGAAACAGGCATCTGATTGGGCTGAGGTCTATACCAAGTGCAGTCTCACATGCACAACTAATATGGATCTCCTGGTACATGCCAATGGGGGAGGGCTCTGGGCTACACTCAGCCAAGGAATCATGGGGCAGATATTCTTTCAGGCCTACTTTGGATGCCCCAGATAAAGGCTGCGGTTGTATGCGGCTTCTTCCTAACCCGTAATCTAAGACCACCACCCTCAGGGAGTTATTGCTTGGTAGGCAGTGAGCTTCTGTTAAAGGTGATGGAAAAATTTGTGATGGCTGCACAATCTGATAAATGTAATTAATGTCACTAAATTGAACATCTAAAAAATGTTGAAATGGAAAATGTTTTGTTATATATATATATATTTACCACAATTAAAAAAAAGAAAAAAAAGAATACCACCTTATGTTTGCAGCTGAATGCCCCACCATGAAAGAGGCCTGCAACCCAGTCACCCTCCACTGGGTTCAGTTAGTTGGTATCATTTATTTTTTCAGTTTTTAAGGTAGTCATAAAATGAAAATTATTGATCAAGATGAAGCATGTACCTTTCCTATAAACGCCATGGCATTCGCACTCCCTGCCTTTGCTGCCTTTAGGAAATAGTATAATGCTTTCTGGGGAGGAAAGGATAAGCATTATTGACAGTCATGAATATATGCAACAAAATGGCTTTTTGAACCAAACTTTATTTCACTCAGCATACATTCAACAAATATTTATGAAATGCCCACTTTCTTTAAGGCACTAGTCCAAGCACTATTTCAACTATAAACCTGAATGTTGTTGCTGTTACGTGCTGTTGAGTTGATTCTGACTCACAGAGACCCTATAGAACAGAGTAGAATTGCCCTATAGGGTTTCCAAGGCTGTAATCTTTATGGAAGGAGCCCTGGTGGTACAGTGGTTAAAATGCTTGACTGCTAACCAAAAGGTTGGCTGTTTGAACCCACCAGCCACTCCATGGGAGAAAGATGTGGCAGTGTGCTTCTGTAAAGATTTACAGCCTTGGAAATTCTATGAGGCAGTTTTACCCTGTCTTATAGGGGTGCTATCAGTAAGAAGCGACTCGATGGCAGTGGGTTTGGGAATCTTTATGGAAGCAGACCGCCACATCTTTCTCCCACAGTGTGACTGGTGGATTCAAACCATCAGCCTTTCGGTTAGCAGCCAACTGCTTAACCACTGCACCACAAGAGCTCCTATAAACATGAATAGTGGGAGTTTTATGGCTACACTTACATATATACATAAGTTTAGAATGTGAAGGCTTGTTTTTCACATTTGGGTAGGCAAAATGGTCATGTGGTTATGCACTTATTTTATAAGGAAATCTGTTCAGTGGTCAGGATTGGTTATGCAGCATCCTATATGTTTATAGGCAAAATAGGTAAGAACAGATGCACCTGGCTGCCTACTGAGACCAGGTCTTTCAGCAGAGGTGAACTTCGGGCCAATTTCTTCTAAACCAAATTGAAGGAGGCTAGCAAAGCATCTGATTCCCTCTAGGCCATAACATTAAATGAAGTGCTCAGTCTGTACTGCATAAGGGCTGACCTTTTCCCTTCCTGCTCCATTCCCCAGGCCTCATCCTGACCTTCCAGAAGGTTCCCTCTGAGACCACAGGTAGTAATAAAAGGAATCAGCCCCAGGAATGAGACATGAAGACACTTTCCAAAGTGCCTTATGAGGACATAACTCTTCTGCTCTTTTAAAAAGCCCTGATGTTCAAGGCTTAAAAAGGTTGATGTGCAAGGATCTGCTTCTTCCCAAAGAGGAGAGAATGTGTAAGAAGAAGTGCACGTGGTTCTTTAATATGGAACTTTGCTCTAGAAAGGTTGCTAACTTATTTCAGAACTACACCCTTGTTACTAAAGTCAGTCTGCCTTGTGGACATAACACAAAATGTCACCAGTGCCAAATCTCATCATATCATGCATGCATGCATCCGTCCATCTCTTCCTTTCTTCATTAATTCTTTCAAAAAGTGTATTGAACCTACTATATGTTTTTTATTATGTTAGGTATTATAGGTGATTCATAGATGAACAAAAACACCATCCCCACATATCTTCCATAACAACGCTGCTAAGAAGAAAGGAATATATGTAAATAACAGTAAGATAGGTGACAGATGAGACAAAAGGAACACCAAAACATCAGTGGGGTACAGAATAACAGAAATTTCAGTCAGTTAAGTAACAAGTGTTTTATAAGCTTTTTCTTACCTAATTTTCACAACAGCAATATAAGGAAGCTATTATTGATATTATTATTGATATTATTGACTCCCAATCTTCAATATTTAGTGACACTGAATCATGTTAGTAGTGAATCCAATGCCCATGTACTTAAGTACTCTGCCTACATGGCATAAAGAAGGGAGGGCTGAGATGATAAAGGTCTCATGAAAGATGGAGAGGATTTGCCAGTGCACAGGGCATCACAGGCTCGGGGAATAAGACAAGCAAGGGATTGGAGATGGGAATTTCCAAGGTATACCCAGGCAATAGTAATTATTTCAGTACGGCTGAAGTAGAACATCTGAAAGCAAAGACTGCAAAAATATGATGGTGCCATATAATAAGGTCTTGAATACCAGGCTAAGGACTTTGTATTTAGTAGAAAATGGAAGCCACTGGAGATTTATGAGCATAAGGGATTCTTGAAGCAAATGCTATCTAAAATGTCTAGAATAATCTAAGTGTAAATTAGATAGATGTTGTAGCAATGCATGATTTCCCAAATTAGAGAACATTAATATAAAAAATAAAGATATTTCTTCTGAATGTCTCTTCGGAGTCAAGTCCCAAATATGCCCCTAGGTAACTGCGTGATCTGTGCAAGTCACAATATCGCCAGGCCTCAGTTTCCTCACTCAGTTTCTCCTCCTCTGTGCTCTGAGGGAACCTTGTTCTGTCCCTGTCTTGGCATGCACCCGTTTATTTGTCTGCTTATTTTTCTGTCTCCCCCGGTGTTAAATCCTCTGTATTTAGCACAGTCTCTGCCATTTATTAAGCACTCAGTAAATATTTCTGGAAAGAATGAATGTATAAATGAATGAAAAGATATGTTTACAAATTCTTAAAACAAGGGGAACTGGATTTTAATCTAAATGGTCCCTTCAAGCTCTATCATTCTATTATTATGATTCTATGAACTTACTTTCAAAGTCTACTTTTAGAATTTGCCTCTCAAATATCCTGCAATAGAAAGTTCTGGAAAAAAAATACCTCTGGGAAAATAGATTTAAACTTGACAAAATTTAAACTTAAAATAAATTATTCTATGGAAGCAAATAAAGACTCCCAATCTTCAATATAATGATCCCATAAAGACCAAAGGGCTTGAAGCTCTAATTTCCCCTCACATACCCTTTTACTCCCATGGCTTACTTGACATTTCAGATCTCTTTTCTTTTTCTTTAAATTTATCTGCACTTAATGTTATTATTTCAATTGTATAAAAATTTATTAAACACTGACTATGTGGAAGTACTATGCAAGTTGCTTTGATGGATACACATAATTGCCAATCTGAGCTTTTACTCTCAAACAGTTAAGATCAAATATCCATCCATCCATCCATCCATCCATCCATCCATCCATCCACTCACCCATCCATCCATCCATCCACCCATCCAACCATCCATCCATTCACCCACTCATTCATTCACCCACCCATCCATTCACCCACTCATTCATTCACCCACCCATCCATTCACCCATCCATCCATTCATCTGTCCATCCATCCACCCATCCATACATCCACTCATCCATACAGCAACTCATTCATCCATTGATCCAATATTTACTGAGCACCTACCATCATACTGAATTGATTTTAAGATGTACATTCCCCCCCCCCATTTTAATCAGGTCACTTTTTACTATCAGTGCATCCTATAATTTATATTGATTTTATAAATGACTAGTTTTATATAAATTATAAATTTTATATTGTATAGTTTTTAACAATTTCTTGGTAGAACATAAAGTAATGGTGTGACTTAGAATTGATGATGTCTTGAATAGGATGAAATATAGTATGTCCCAATTATTATGCTAAGTGAATTTTGATTGCTTGAGCCCACTTCTCCTTTTTTTAAAAAAATGAGCAGAGTTTTTCATTGGTTTTGGAAAATCCCTAGTTTTATTTATTTGTAACATTTTCCCCAGAATGGAATGCCAAGAAAATGTATTGTTCAAAAAACTTTTATGAGCACTTCGTTTATTCCAGGCCCTGAAAAGGGATAAATGGAGCCCTGAAAAGGGATGATATCAGCTTTTATTTTTAATGGATGGCAGGGTAGACAGGGCAGTTGCCTTAACATATTTGATATTATTCCTCTGCCAAGTTTAATTTAATTATACCTTATCCACTTTAATGATATGCACCCAAACACCCCATTTTCCTAATCCAATTCATTCTGAGTCTGTATATATGTAGAAATGCAAACCATATTAAAATTTATGTGTATAAAATCAAGATAATGTCATCAAGAATTACATATACAATACTTTTCAATAATTAAGAGTTTGGCAATGGGAGAGGGTGAAAATGTTGCCTGTGGTGACAATTTATGAGAGGGATTAATTCAACCAAACAGCGAGGAGGAAAGAAAGGCAAGCTAGTTGTTTCTGGATATTTTAATATTAAATTTGTTGGGCATAAAACTGGGGTATCATTTATATTTAAAAAGTATTCGTGATAGGCATTTTCTTGGTGGGTTGAAGCATTAGCATCCTGGCTCAAATGGTACTTCTCAGGCTGAGAAGCAACATACAATGCTTAAGATGCCATCATTTATTCAATAAATATTTACTGAGCACCTAATATATTCCAGGCAGTATTCTGAGCACAGGATACATAGCAGTGAGCAAGACAAACGAGAACTTACCAGTTTTATCCTTTTACCTCCCCTCTCTCCTTTGTTGGTTCTGGTGCAACTAAACTGTGGTAAGTTGCAAAAATTACCACAATACTTTGCAGCATCACCCATTAAGAGGAAAGGTCTATTTTCCTACCCCTTGAATCCTGGCTGGACTTGTGGACTTGCTTTGGCCACAAGAATGTGGCAGGAGAGATCTATGAGTTCCAAGCTTAGGCCCCAAGAGATGCCTGCTCTTGTGTTCTTAGAACACTTTGACTGCCGTTGAAAAGCTTGGGCCAGTCTGCTGGAAGATAAAACCTTGTGGAGAGAGGCTCCAGTCATCCTAGCTGTCACAGATGAGGCCACATAAGCCAGCCCAGATGTATGAGCAAGCCCAGGTAACTCCAGATGTATGAGCAAGCCCAGCCAAGATTAGCTGAGCCTGGTACATCCCAGAAGAATTGCTCAGCCAAGTCCAGCCAAAATTGCTAACCTGTAAAAATCAAGAATTAAATAAATGGCTGTTATTTTAAGCCACCTAAATTTGGGAGTGGTTTGTTAAGCGGCCAAAGTAACTGATACACAAACGAATCAGTCTTGTGGTTTGAGACTGGAAGGGCTCTTGGCTGGAGCCCTCCATGCAAATTCAGGTTTATTTGCTGGAATCTCTAGATAGGAAGCATGAGGCCCAAGTCACTATTAGAAAGTTAGAGTTGAAAGAACTCTGAGACATTATGTCATTCCTTCTTCTGCTTTATAAACTAGGAAACTGAAATTTTAGAGTAGAGGTTTTTTGTTGCTCAGTCATAGGAAGTAAGGTTTAATGGAGAGAATACAGGCTTTGAATGCTGAAAGTCTGAGTTCAAATTCTGCTTCTTAATAACCTTACTTCTCAGCTGTGAGACCTGAAGCAATTTACTTCATTTCTCCAGCCCCAGTCCCTTGTCTGTAAAGCAGAGATAATAAAACTTCTGTAAATGAGCTGTGGAGTGTCAAAGGCACTAGAACAGTGTCTGGACTGTAGCATCTGCTCCCTCTTTTTGTTCTCCCTCTCAACCAAGATGAGGAAATGGGAGTGCAGGGAAGTTGGTGAATCAACTCCCTCATTCAAGGAAATAAGAAGCCCACAGAAGAGCCTTTGCTGCTACAGGAACGAACACCTGGGACTACTCCCATCCTGGGATTACCAGTGGATTACCCTTCATCCTCATCTGAAGGCAGCTACCACTCTCATCTGGTCTTCACAGTGGCTGAAGCTGACCAAAAAGTACTTAACTTTAAAGGGTTTTATTGTACTGTACAGAGATTGGTGTGTCCTCTCTATAGCTATAACAACAATTGTGAGGATGGTGCAGGACCAGGCAGTGTTTCGTTCTGTTGTACACAGGGTCGCTATGAGTCGGGACAGACTCCACAGCACCTAATGACATCAACTCTATAGGTGAAATTTGGGTGCTTTCACACCCTGACAAATTTCACGTTTATGGAAAATGGGGACTCCTTCCCAGTGATGAACCTCATGGTTAACAAAAGAAACTCAGTGCAAGCTGAACTCTAACATTGGAGTAATAATACTGTTTATCCAGAACTTCTCATCTAAGAAGTTAAAATGTTGGTTATGATTAGGATAAAAAAAATCTTAAAAGGCAAACAATTTGATACGTATATATTTACCACAATAAAGAAGTAAAAACCAAAACAAAACAAAACTGAAGCCTTTCAACTGAGATGTCTCAGGACGTACACGCTTACTTAAATTGCTGCCTATTTTACCACGTTTCATAAAATTAACTTTGACATTTACCTAATGCTTATTGTATCTCATATAAATACAAACCAGTGTACCAAAGCAAAAATTCATAAAATAAAAGTGAAAATATAAAGTGAAATGGAAATGAATCTTCCATGTAAAAGCCTTATAAAGTAGTTATTTCTAATGCTGAGCCACTGGTACTATGAATAGGGTACGTGTTACCCCAAGACAATAAGCATGTGGCATCTAGAAAATGACAAGGGTTGCAATATCTTTTAAAAAGAATCTCAGTTACTTCCTCAGATATGTGATGATCTAGGGTCTTGAAACCACAACTAGAATCTAGACAAGACCTCATCCCGTGACTCTGTAATCTTATTTAGGGGATCCTTTGTAGGCCAAGTTTGCTTTTTTCTCCGTTATGAATCTGAATTATTTATCAATCTTCTAACCTCACTGGGATAAGGTAAGGTTAAGCAAAATGATGGAAAGGAGCTTTGCAAATTTATAAAGATGCCTAACAATCTTTCTAATTATATCAAAAGCAGACTGTCCTCTGTTCTAGCCAAATGGGGATGAGGCTGGTCCTCAGACTCCTTAGCAGCAATCTCCCAGGTGGACTTTCTGCAGCTGGTCTTTGGGGAGGGAAACTGTCCAATGCCAGCAGATGGGGGCATTCCTCTTACCTCACGCTAGCCCAACAATGTGTTTGGGTAGGAAGGGGTTAGGTTCAATTGGAACAAGGACACTTCTCTGCCCAAACTGCTCCACCCAAAGCCCCTACCACTTTGCACTTGGAGGCAGGTAGGAAAAATGCTCTCTCTGGTTTACTTTGTTCTTCCTCAAAAGCTGGGAAGCAGATCTAACTGAAGTTGCAGCGATGGGCTTTCCCTAGCAACTCTGCCAGCTTCTTCTCTCTCCCCTTTCACTGCCTCTGCCAGTCCCTCACAATGTTGCTGCACACCCTATATGGCTGAATCTTGAGAATGACTTACGTAGTAATCCTGATCTAGACCTTTCCTCCCAATTAGATGTAATTGTCCAAGAGATACCTAGAAACAATAATTTTTGAAAATGATTTTAGCAGTAGCATTAATTTGAATAAGCAAATAAAAACATATTAACTGTTTTTGCTATAGTAGGTTGGCTCAGTTTGATACAGTTGGCATATCTTAAAAGAAGCAGGAAAAAAGACTACATTTCTTATCGGTTACTGGGTTGCTGATGGGCATATGGCTTCTTGGTGGTAGGATGCCAACTTGTACGGTAATGCCTGGGCACATAATCCTGGGAGCCTTTACTCTTGGCTTTCAAAGCTCACACAAATGCGGCCCCATTCCCAAAAGCAGAACATTTCTAGATCCTTGAGGAGTCCATTCTTATTAAAACAAGCATCAGATGGTGCTTTTTTCTAAATTAAAATCTAGGTTTTCTTTTAAATGAAATTTTTGTGATTAAATGTAAAAAAAAGCCATTACTGTGGCAACTGACTCTCCCATAGACCACAGGAACTGCAAGTAGCAGGGGACAAACGAGAGGAGTAGAGAAGACAGGAGGGGGTGTCTCTTCCTTTCCCACCCAGCTCGAGGCATTGTTAAACCCTTCAGGACTCAGAGAGAACCACGCCCCTTGTAATTTTCATGTTCTAAAAATTCAAGATCTTCAGTATACATTACTTGTATCTGAACATCTCCTCTTTCTGCCAAAAATTTATAGTATTGATATATGTCCCAATCCAAAATCTCACTGTTAGAACTCAGATTTTCAGGTCTTTCGGTGAGTCTCACTTTTTCCACTGGGATACCTTCAGTTTTTTCCAATTTGTCAGCAACTGTGAATAGAAACAAGCCAGAGAACAGCCAGAATACACAAGGTTGCAAGAGATAAAAGTCAACTTAGAGAAAACATTGTTAGGACTACCATCCTTAAATTGTTCAGAAATCTGGTCCACTAAGAGAAAGGGAAGATCCTCGGAAAATTAAAATTTGCTGATTTTTGTTTATATGATCCTGAGAAAAGGGCACGAAACCTAGCTATTCTTTGTAACCCATACAAACATTGTACCAATAGACATTGGATCCTACTGAAGATCTTGCCCCAGAAGGTCCAAGAAAAGAGGAGAGATTTTAGGATCAGGTAACTGACACCCTCTACCATTGACCTTTCCTGGGACTGAAACTAGAAAATGAGAGTAATAACTGCTTCTTAATTGCTTTCTATGGATGGTCTGAAAATATAAAAATAAGTAGGCTTGAATACACCTATCAAAGTGTGCAGTTTGAAATATATACAGAGTGATGCTAGCTTCATTAAGCATATGAAATGATCTTGTTACATATAGCATCTTAAATTCAAAAGTAGTTTCTTTTTTCCTCCTTCTTTTCTCAGATCCTAATAGTACCAAAGATGTGTGGTTAGACAGCATTCTGATTACAGAAATTAACCAAGTGGACTTAATCTTATTCACTTCTTGGAAGACTTTTGAAAACTATTATGTTCAGAGATGTTACAAGATAAAATGTTAGATACAACTTTGAAAACGATTCTAGGAACATATATTAACCGCATGTTCTATTTTTAATAGACAAAGAATAGGGGCAAAATTGTTCTCAAGTGCAGTGATAGAGATCTCTGATGTTTGAGCCTTATATTTATTTCTTTAGGAATTTTTAACAAGTAATCCACATTATGAATGTTAGAATTAGGAAGACTGCTTAATATTTATTTGCGTTATATTCAAATTGTCAGTTTAAGGAAAGAATATCACAAGAATAAGTAAAAGAGAACTGTTTGGGGATATGTACTAAAAAAGAAAAAAAGATGAGCACAATCATTTAAAACCTTTGAAAAGTAACTATTAAGGAATCAGAAACTTTATAGTGTATTAAAAAGAATGGCATTATAACCTATGTTAAAAGTATAGTTTTTAAAATATTTAAAATATTTTCATGTACACTGGATTTATTGATTTATTTTTTAACAGCTTGGAAAGTCTGTTTATCTTAAAATAAATTACGTGGATTACTCACTATAATCTGCCACTTTCTTGTAATGATTTAGGGCAACTTCGCAATTCTGTAGAACATTGATTCCTGACAAATATCTGTACCCCTAAAACACATGCATATATATTCTTAATATTATGACAATGCTGCATTTGTAAGACACTTATTTAGCCCCAAAATACTTAATTTACAAACCAAGATCATCTGGGACATCATGCTTCCTCCAGCACTTCCAAAGGTGTAATATATTAGTGCCTAAAAGTAAAAAAAAAATATATCTATGTATCTATATATATGTATGTCAAACCTTAAACATTTTTATTCCTAGCTCAGCAGTGAACCTTGAGCCATTCCAAAATAAATTCCAAATTTCACTCTCTTCCTCTATAAAGATGACCGTAATTTATGGGGACTTACCAAGCTCTAGAGTCTGTGATAAGGGCATTGTATATGACATTTTACTTAATCATCACAAAAGCCCTATGAAGTAGATATTATCTACCTTTGATAAAAAATTTGGAATACAGGGACAATGAGAAACTTGTCCACTACTCGTCTGTCAGTTTGTCTTACTGTGGTGGCTTGCATGTTGCTTTGATGCCGGAAGCTATGCCACTGATATTACTAGCAGGGTCACGCATGGTGGATAAGTTTTAGCAGGGCTTCCAGACTAAGACAGACTAGGAAAAAGGACCTGGCAATCTAATTCTGAAAAAATCAGCCAATGAAAACTTTATGAATAGTAGTGAAACATTGTCTGATAAAGCGCTGGAAGACAAGCCCCTCAGATTGGAAGGCACCAAAATATGAGTGGGGAAGAGCTACCTCCTCAAAGTAGAGTTGACCAAAATTAGGCGGGTGGAGTAAAGCTTCTGGAACCTTTATTTGCTGATGTGGCATGACTCAAAATGAGAAGAAACAGCTGCAAATATCCATTAATAATCGGAACATGGAATGTACAGAGTATGAAACTAAGAAAATTGGAAGTCATCAAAAATGAAATGGAATGCATAAAGATTGATATCCTAGGCATTAATGAGTTGAAAGTTACTGGTATCGCCATTATGAATCAGACAAGCATATGGTCTACTATGCTGGGAATGACAGATTGAAGAGGAACAGCGTCATATTCATTATCATCAAAAAAAAAAAAAAAAAATTCAAGATCTCTCCTAAAGTACAAAGCTGTCAGTGATAGGATAACATTCATACACCTACCAGTAAAACGAGTTAATATAACTATTATTCAAATTTACCCAACAACCACTAATGGCAAAGAAGAAGAAATTGAAGGTTTTTTCCAACTCAGCAGTCTGAAATTGATCAAAGATAAAATCAAGATGCACTGATAATTACTGGTGACTGGAATTTGAAAGTTGGAAACAAAGAAAAAGGACTGGTAGTTGGAAAGTATGGCCTTGGTAATAGAAATGATGCTGGAGATTGCTTGATAGGATTTTGCAAGACCAACAGCTCACTCATTGCAAAAACCTTTTTTTCAACAACATAAGTGGTGGCTATACACGTGGACCTTGCCAGATGGAATACATAGGAATCCTATTGACTACATCTGTGGAAAGAGATGATGGAGAAACAATATATCATCAGTCAAAAACAAGGCAAGGGGCTGACTGTGGAACAGACCATCAATTGCTCATATGCAAGTTCAAGCTGAAGCTGAAGAAAATTAAAACAAGTCTATGAAAGCCAAAGTAGGACCCTGAATATATCCCACCTGAATTTAGAGACCATCTCAAGAATAGATTTGACGCATTGACTGAAAACCAGACGAGCTGTGGGATGATTTCAAGGACATCATACGTGAAGAAAGCAAAAGGTCATTAAAAAGACAGGAAAGAAAGAAAAGACAAAACTGGATGTCAGAAGAGACTCTGAAACTTGATCTTGAAAGTACAGTGGCTAAGGCAAACGAAAGAAATGATGAAGTAAAAGAGCTGAACAGAAGATTCCAAAGGGCAGCTTGAGAAAACAAAGTAAAGTATTATAATGAAAAGTGCAAAGACCTGGAGTCAGAAAACCAAAAGAGAAGAACACGCTTGGCATTTCTCAAGATGAAGAACTGGGGAAAAAATTAAAGCCTCAAGTTGCAATACTGAAGGATTCTATGGGTAAAATATTGAAAGATGCAGGAAGCATCAAAAGAAGATGGAAGGAATGTACGGAGTCACTGTACCAAAAAGAACTGGTCGATGTTCAACCATTTCAGGAGGTAGCATATGATCAAGAACCAATGGTATTGAAGGAAGAAGTCCAAGCTGCACTGAAAGGAATATTGAAAAACAGGGCCCCAGGAACTGACAGAATACCAATTGAGATGTTTCAACAAACGGATACAGCACTGGACGTGCTCACTCTGTCTATGCCAAGAAATTTGGAAGACAGCTACCTGGCCAAATGACTGGAAAGGATGCATATTTGTGCCTGTTCCAAAGAAAGGTGATCCAAGAGGATACAGAAATTATTGAACACTATCAATAAGATCACATGCAGGTAAAATTCTGCTGAAGATAATTAAAAAATGGTTGCAGCAGTACATTGACAGGAAACTGCCAGAAGTTCAAGCCAGATTCAGAAGAGGATATGGAATGAGGGATATCGCTGCCAATGTCAGATGGACCTTGGCTGAAAGCAGAGAAAACCAGAAAGATGTTTACCTGCGTTTTACCGACTATGCAAAGGCATTTGAATGTGTGGATCATAACAAATTATAGATAACATTGTAAAGAATGAGAATTCCATAACACTTCATCATGCTTGTGAGGAACCTGTACATAGACTCAGAAGAAATCATTTGAATAGAACAGTGGGATACTGTGTGGTTTAAAATCAGGAAAGGTGTGCGTCAGGGTTGTATCCTTTCACTAATTCAATCTGTATGCTGAGCAAATAATCCGAGAAACTGGACTATATGAAAGAAGAATGCAGCAGCAGGATTGGAGGACAACTCATTAACAACCTGCGATATTCAGATGACACAAACTTGCTTGCTGAAAGTGAAGAGGGCTTGAAACACTTAATGATGAAGAGCAAACACTATACAGCCTTCAGTATGGATTACATCTCAACATACAAAAAACAATCCTTACAAATGGACCAGTAAGAAACATCATGATAAATGGAGAAAAGATTGAGGTTATTAAGAATTTCATCTTACTTGGGTCCACAATCAATGCCCATGGAAACAGCAGGCAAAAAATCAAACGATATATTGCATTGGGCAAATATGCTGCAAAAGACCTCTTTAAAGTATTGAAAAGCAAAGATGTCACTTTGAGGACTAACGTGCACCTGACCCAAGGCATGGTATTTTCAACTGCCTCATATGCATGCAATCACAGACAACAAATAAAGAAGACCAAAGAAGAACTGATGCCTTTGAATTAAGGTGTTGGTGAGGAATATTGACTATACCATGGACAGCCAGAATGAACAAATCTGTCTTGGAAGAAGTACAACCAAAATGTTCCTTAGAAGAGAGGATGATGAGAAGAACTGAGACTTTGTCTCACATACTTTGGACATGTCATCAGGAGGTACTGGTCCCTGGAGAAACACATCATGCTGCTAAAGTACTGGGCCAGCAAAAATGAGGAAGACCCTTAATGAGATGGTTTGTCACAGGGGCTACAACAATGGGCTCAAACAAAGAAACAATTGTGAGGATGGCGCAGGACCAGACAGTGTTTCGTTTTGTTGTACATTGGGTTGGTATGTGTCAGAACCCACTAGAGGACACCTAAAACAAAAACAAGAAACTTGTGGTATTAGAACCCTGAATTTTCTCCGACTATTGAACTGTTGCTTTTAACCACCATGAAGAATGAGCCCCTTTACTTAGAATGGACTCTTTATTCAATGTCTTTTTTTAATATATATTTTTAAATTATTTTTTTATTGTGCTTTAGGTGAACATTTACAGAGCAAATGTTAAATTAATTAAACAGTTAAACATTTAACAATTAATACACATACTGTTTTGTGGCACTGGTTGTCAACCCTGCAATGTATCAATACTCTCCCCTTCTCAACCTCAGGTTCCCCATTTTCATTGGTCTAGTTTTCCTGTCCCCTTTTGCCTTTTTGTCTTTGCTTTTGGGCTGGTGTGCCCATTTAGTCTCATATACACGGTTTAACTACGTGTTATTTTTTGTTTTATAGGCCTGTCTAATCTTTGGCTGAAAAGTGAACTTCAGGAGTGACATCAGTACTGAGTTAAAAGGGTGTGTCTGGGAGCCATACTCTGAGGATTTCTCCAGTCTCTGTCAGACCATTAAGTCTGGTCTTTTTTTGTGTGAGTTTGAATTTTGTTCTACATTTTTCTCCCACTCTCTTCGGGACCCTCTATTGTAATCCCTCTCAGAGCAGTTGGTGGTGGTAGCCAGGCACCATCTAGTTATACTGGACTCAGTCTGGTGGAGGCTGTGGTAGTTGTAGTCTATTATTCCTTTGGACTAATCTTTCCCTTGTTTCTTTGGTCTTCTTCATTCTCCTTTGCTCCAGATGGGGTGGGACCAGTAGATGTATCTCAGATAGCCGTTCACAAGCTTTTAAGACTCCAGACACTACTCACCAAAGTAGGATGTAGAACATTTTCTTTATAAACTATGTTATGCCAGTTGAGATAGATGTCCCCCAAGACCATGGTCCCCAGCCCTCAGCCCAGTAACTTGGTCCCTCAGGGAGTTTGGATGTGTGTATGAAGTTTCTACGACTCTGCCTTGTTCGAGCTGTGCTGACTTCCCCAGTATCGTGTACTGTCTTACCCTTCACCAAAGCTACCACTTATCTATTGTCTAGTGTTTTTCCCTCGTCACCCCTCCTTTCCCTTGTGACCATCAAAGATTGTTTCTTTCTGTACGGAAACATTTTCAGGAGTTTTTTATAATAGTGGCCTCATACAATATTTGTCCTTTTGTGATTGACTTATTTCACTCAGTATAATGCCCTTCAGATTCATCCATGTTGTGAGATGTTTTGCAGATTCATCATTGTTCTTTATCATTAGGTAGTATTCCATTGTGTATATGTACCATAGTTTGTTTATCCATTCATTTGTTGATGGGCACTTAAGTTGTTTTCACATTTTTTCTATTGTGAATAATGCTGTAATGAACAAGGGTGTGCATATGTCTACTCATGTGATGGCTCTTATTTCTCTAGCATATATTCCTAGGAGTGGGATTCCTGGAGGATATGGTATTTCTATTTCTAGCTTTTTAAGGAAGCGCCGTATCACTTTCTGAAATGGTTATACCATTTTGCATTCCCCCAGCAGTGCATAAGAGTTCCATTAATGTCCTTAAAAAAATGTCTTTTCAATATTCTTGAAAAAATAAAAGGGCCTTACCTTGGCTTGATCATATTCCATTCCTATTCCATAAGAAGACAAAAATCCTAATGCCTAAACCCCAAAAGAGAAAGCAGAACTCAACAAGTCCATTTATTTCACAATTATTCTTATCTATATTAATAAAGGATATTCTAAATGTCTGCTCCATAGTAATTTGCATTCTTAATTTATATCCTATACCATAACAAAGTGTCTTTTTACATTTTTTTTAAAAATACTGCAACCATTTGAGAAGGTTACAATAATGGGAGTTTTATACAAATGTGTGAAAATAGACTAATGCTTACTGTACTTTAGTGTAAATTATAATAATAAAACTTAAATGGTCCTCATGTGCTTTCCTTTCTTGGCAATGAAAATCTTTTTTCCTTCAAAATTTTTGCATTTTTTGAATTTGAATATTTTTCTTCATATTTTTAAAAGAAAATATGGCCAGTGTAAAAATTCAAACAGTAAGAAATATATTGAATAAAAAATGAACATCCCCTTCATTACCCCACCCCCACACCAATACTACTTCGGTGTGTGTCTTTTCAGACCATTTTCTAAGCTTTCACATAAACTAAAAAACAAACACACAAAAAAACCTTGCTGCTGTGGAGTCTATTCCAACTCATGGTGACCCCAAGTGAATAGAATAGGCCTGTGCTAAATAGGGTTTTTAAGACTGTGACCTTTTGGAAGCAGATTGCCAGGCCTTTCTTCCCAGGTGCCTCTGGTTGGGTTGGAATCACCAACCTCTTGCTTAGTAGATGAGTGTTTAACCATTTGCACCACCCAGGAACTCCTAAACATTCATACATACATACATATATATATATATATATATATATGTATGTATGTATATAGTTTTTTTTTTTTTGTAGGCTTCCCACACACACACACTGATTTAGAATTCCACTATTATAATCTACTAAATTTTCTGATATTCATGGGTTTATTTCTGGACGTTCTTGTTCATTGGTTCTCAATCATGGCTGCTCAATGGAATCTTTTGAGGATCTTTTAGAAAACTGACTGTGATCCCACTTTGGGTGATTCTGATGCATTGAGTCTCAGAGTGAAGCCAGTGACTAGGTTTTCAGAAAGCTCCGCAATGATTCTGATGAACCTGTGGGTCTAGTTCAGTGCTTCTCAAACTCTAAGCTGCACATGAGTCATCCTGGAATTTTGCAAAAATGCAGATTTAGATTCAATAGGTCTGGAGTGAGGCCCAAGATTCTGCATTTCTAAGAAGCACCTAGGGGATGTGCACACCACAGGTCCACAAACCACACTGTAAATGGTAACCCATTGCCGTTGAGTTAATTCCGACTCATAGAGACCCTTTAGGACAGAGTAGAATTGTTCCATAGGGTTTCCAATGCTGCAATCTTTAGGGAAGTAGACTGCCACATGTTTCTCCCACAGAGTGGCTGGTGGGTTCCAATCACTGACCTTTCGGTTAGCAGATGAATACGTAATCACTGCTCCAACAGGGCTCCTTGTAAATGGCAAAAGTCTAGTCAATTTGAAATTTTCTGGGACGAAACTGAACTGTGTTAGTCATTGTAAGTTAAGATATCTTTGGCTACTTGATGAAGCAACTCTTCTCTCATTATTATTCTTTTTCTTCCCTAAAACATTTATGTGCTATTCTTGCACCTCAACTATTCTAGATGAATTTTAGTATCTGTTTTCCAAATATTAAAATTACATAAAGTAATTTTTTCACTTTATGTGAAGATTTTTCCCTGCCAGTATATGCTGTGTGGACATACTGTAATTTAATAGCATACCTGTTTCCCTTTATTAGGCATTTAGGGCATTATTAATTTTCAGATGTTACTGAAAATATGGCAATTCTTATACATGCACAGGTATATTTTTCTAGGATAAATAACTGGAATTGGAAGTGCTGCAAAAAATTGGACATACCTTGAACATTTTGATAGGTTCTGCCAAATTGCCCTCCTAAAATGTTACACAAATTCATTCTCCTACCAAAAATATGTGAAGTACCCATCCCCTGTACGCTCAACAACAAATAGCATCAATCTTTTTTAGTTTTATCAATCTGATGGATAAAAAATATCTTGTTGTTTTAATAGGATTTCCCAGACTACTAGTGAGTTTGAACACTTTTTCTTATTTACTGACCATTTAATTTCTTCTGTCATTGGCCTGTTCATATCCTTTGCCCGTTACTACTGGATTTATTTATATTTTCTTATTGATTTATAGCTTTGTCTATACTTTGGATATTGTCATTTGTTTATTACATATTTGGCAAACATTTTCTCCCAGTCTTGCTGCTTATCACTGATTATACTGTGTTTCATTATACAAAAAATTTAAAGTGTTTATAGTCAAAATTTTCAAAATTTCCTTATGGAATAAAACAAATAACAATAATAAATCCTCAGAGTGATTTTCTGGAATATACCTATGCCATCTGTTTTATAGTTGACATGGGTGAAACAGCATATTACATGTCTTCATAGTGCCTTCTCAGATTATGTGTTTATTAAGCTTCTGTTGAGGAGCCCTGGTGGCACAGTGGTTAAGCAGTAGGCTGCTAGCCGAAAGTTCGGTGGTTGGAACCTACCAGCCACTCCTTGGGAGAAAGATACGGCAGTCTGCTTCGGTAAAGATTACAGCCTTGGAAACCTTATGGGACAATGCTACTCTGTCCTGTAGGGTCACTGTGAGTCATAATTGACTGGACAGCAAGGAGGGGAAGCTGTTGCTTGTCAGGATGAAAAGAATGCTCATTTGCACAGTAGAAGCCAAAATGAGCATTGTGAACTTGACTAATAATTGGAGGAAGGCAATGGAGGGAGAGGTGGAGAAAATACCACAATATATTCAACATGAGGTGAAATAAATGGCGCAGTGGTTAAGCGTTCTGCTGCTAATCAAAAGGTCGGCAGTTCTAATCCACCAGCCACTCCTTGGAAACCCTATGAGGCAGTTCTACTCTGTCCTATAGGGTCGCTATGAGTCGGAATCGACTCAGTGGCAATGGGTTTGGTTTACTGGGAAAGATTGTGGCAGAGATTGCTTGCTGTCCCCCTAGGTTTCCCTTCTTCTAGAGTAAGAGAACCCTGGATTTGTAGCTGAGCACTAAAGACTATAAGGTTGATCCATAAGAAGTTGATGATTTGGTAGGTCAAAAAAGCTGATCAGCAATTTCATAGTTTAACTTATCACATTTCCCAGCCTCTTTAGCTGTCAAGTGTGGCCATGTGACTAAGTTCTGACCGATAGGCGTGAGTGACAGTGATGTGAGCTACTTCCAGGTCATGCTCTTAAAGGTATGCCTTCTCTTTCCATCTTTCTCCTTCCCATTGGTTGGGATACTGACATGATGGTGAGACATCCTGGACAATGCAGACAAGGATGACATCTTTAAGATGGCAGAGACACAAAACAGAGGGAGTCTTGGTCTCTGATGACTTCATAGAGCAGAACCACTGTCCCTGCTTGAATTTAACATTAGGAAAAACTACAGTTCTGTCTTAAGTCACTGTTATTTTGGGTCTCAGTCATACCCAGGTAAGTCTATACGCTAACTCAGTGGTTCACAAAGTATAGTCTGTGGATCCCTCAGAACTGCAAGACCCTTGTGGCAGGTCTGTGAGGTCAAAGTTATTTTCATAATAATACAAAGACATTATTTGCCTTTTTCATCATGTTGACATTTGCACTGATGGTACAAAAGCAATGGTAGGTAAAACTGCTGGCATTTTAGGGCGTATCCAGTAAGTGCACCAAACTGTTGAGTTTTGGAATAGTACCAGAGAAGAATATCTGCCATTATTTGAGCAGGCTATTAAAATACTCTTCCTTTTCTTAACTACATATTTGTGCACGGACTGATTTTCTTATATACTTCAACCAAAACAACATATCACAATAGAATGAGTGCAGAAGCAGGGATAAGAATCCTTCTATTAAACCAAATATTAAAGAGATTTGCAAAAATGTAAAACAATGCTACTCTTCTCATTAAATTTTCTGTAAGATATAGATATTTTTATAAAAATGTTATTTATGTGAACATTTGAGTCTTGGTGGTGCAGTGATTAAGAACTTGGCTGCTAACCAAAAGGCCAGCAGTTCAAATCCACCAGCTGCTCCTTGGAAACCTGATGGGGCAGTTCTACTCTGTTCTGTAGGGTCACTGTGAGTCAGAATTGACTCGGCAGCAATGGGTTCATGTGAACATTTAATGGGCTTATTATTTTAATGAAATAACAAATATGTTTTAAAAATTTCTGTTTTAATTTCTAACATGGCAAATATCAATAGCTATTACATGATCTAAAGCTCTTTGAGATCATCAATAATTTTTAAGAGTGTAAAGAAGTTTGGAGACCAAAAATTTTGAGAGCCTCTGTCTTAATTAACTAATAAAAAGACCTAGATATGACGGTCCCATATCCGTGGATATATGTCAGTGAAAGTATTATCTGGTAGGAATCTGCCACATTAAGTCCCACCCCAGATGAGGTTGTGTGCTGTGCATATCTCAGACCTTGGGAAGATGAAAGAGCTAGTGCAGAAGTAATGCTGACAGGGCTGAGCCCTGGAAGGCCCACTTGGTGGAGGCCCAAATGCTGGAAAAGGTAGCAGTAAGGTGGGGGATAATACATGGGTATTTACTGGAAGTACATAAAAATAGCAGTTAGACTGCCAACTCCCAACCCTTGCCCTGTGCAGCTAGGCATGTAGTCCTTCCCTGGAGAAACTGAATCAAGGAGACTTTGGACTTAGGGACACAGGCACATAGGAGAATGGAGGTAAAGCACCTGACTGAAAACAGAGGTATTAAAGAAAAGCCTCTATTTCATATGGTGAGTCTTCAAGTCCCTTCCCCAGAACTCTAACATTTATAACCCCATGCAGGAGTTATCTATAATACCTTCCACTTTCTAACCCCAAATAGCCAATCCACCATCAACTTCCAATGAATTTTACTGCTAAAATATATCTCAAATTCACTTCTTCCAGTACCTCCCTATTGTGAGCTATTCTCCAGTCTTATATCTGTGCTTGCTCCCCTCCTG